AGCTCTGATGGGCACTCGGAGGAGACCCGGGGACCCGGGCGTGCCGCCGGCGCGGGATTCGGAAGGTAAGGGGGGCTGGGGGGCGGAGGGACGGACAGGGATGGTGAGGGCTTCTGGGCAGGGACCAGGTCCTCCCCCTGCGCCTCCGCTCCAACCCCCTCGTTCCGCCCGGCATCTCCGTCGCTGGAGCGTCCCCCCCAGCGCTCCGCTGAGGCCGCCTCTCGCTCTCCACGCAGACCTCTTCCAGGACTTGAGCCCGTTCCAGGAGACTTGGCTGGCCGAAGGTACGCTGCTTCCTCCTGCTTTGCCCCTCGTTCCGTTGTTTGCCGTCTGGCCCGCTCGCCAGCCGCTGGCCGTGGGGATGACGGCGCAGGGACCGCGCTACTGTGCGGGAATGCGCGCAGGAACGCAACTTGGCGCCTCGCCACTTCCCTGCTTACAGTTTTCGTCTCAAACTACTTGTAACTGGTTCCGTTTTATGCTAACGTCTTACTTCCCGCTTTGGTTGCCAGACGCTGGTATTTTCTTAAAGAAGCAATGAACTATTATTTTAATTGGGGGAACAAAGTGCTTCTCAACTATTTTTTTTCTTTTTTACGATAATTCTTTGCAGGGCCCTTCCTGGAATTTGCACACTCTTCAGTGTGCTAAGTTGTTTTGCCTTTTAACTCCAGGGACATGAAAACATCAACTCCCAGGGAGTTCCGTTAATTCCAAGTGAAACTAGTTCTAAACAGTACAGTGAATTTGCTCTAATTCTACTACTACACATGATCGATTTTCTAGAACATTCAAAACCCATTCTCAAGTACAGACTCAACAAATATAACAGTACTTGCTGTGATACAGGTATTTAACAAGTATGTGACAGTAACAATATAAAAATATGTACAGCATTCCAGGCATGATTATTTCCCTTAATGTTACTGTGAGACAATACTGTGAAACAGCAGGTTTTAAGCCTCCAAAAATGTATTATTTGCCAACTAACTAAGACTATTAATGGGAAAAAGAAGTCCAGTGTTTCTGTTCATTTTGAACCAAAATGAAATTACAGTGATCAGGTAGTTGTCAGCAGTGTAAGGATGCAAGAGGAATTACCTGGCAGCTGTTTCAGGACTGAAACACATAACTTATCACAGCAGAAAAACCAGTATTCATTTCTGGTCATCTAATAGCTCTGCTGAACATGCACACTTGCTTGAGGCTGGTTTCCCTTGAACCCTCAGAAACCTTGAGCTGCCAGTAAGAGAAGTTTGCCTCAGAAATTATTTCTTTCAATTTTAGGCTTTCCAATGTTTAGTAATATTTTTAGCTCACTGAAGAATTGGCATAGAATGCCTTGTGTTTGCAGAATGAGTTCCTAAGCACCCTGGGGTGAAGGGAAGGTCACACATGGTCCCTTTGTGCTGTACAGGCAGAGGTAACCTGCTATCACATACCATCAGGGAACGACAACGCAAACCCCAGTGCATGTGCCTGGAATACAGGCAGGAATCTCTGGGTTCGCGTAGCCCACAGCATCTAATCAGAGCCCAAGTGCCATCTCTGGGAAATCCAAAGCATCTTTTCATACTCCAGCTTATGATCTTAGACTGTATATATGGGGAGCTGCTTTCTCCCACGGTGACGCCCATGTCTAGCTTTTTAAGAAGAAAAGGTGCCCTCTGAAGCAAACTACTGTTTGTTTCTCTGTATTCACCACTATGTCAAATAACTTTCCTGAATGGTGACAATAAGGGGTCTCATTCATGTCTTGTACACGCCTACGTGTCAGCATTTGTTCACGAGGTGAAGGCAGCTGAAAACGTAGGGTACCTTCCGAAGCAACGCAGAAGGGGAAGTATGAAATGAGTTACTTATTCCCTGCCTCTACCACGTTCACGTTAGATATTTAGTTATTTTATCATCTTATTTACAGTTCTTGGTGTTATTGTTGAAATAAACAAATGTAGGAAGGAAGCAAACTGGAAATATAAATTGATAATAATAACCTGTATGAAAACGTCACATTTAAACCACACGTACGCATCTGCGTGTCTGTGTGTGTACGCGTGGCAAGGTCTGTATGTGGTTTCCTTCACAGGGGTTATCTCTGATAGCTTTTTAGAACGTTTCTAATAGTGTCCAGCTCTGCTGCTTCTGGAGCTACTGAAACGGCTGTTGTTCCTCCTATGCTAAATGCTTAAGCACCTTATGTTTCTAATGAAAATTGTGAACCCTGAGCTAAAAAGCTTGCTGTTCTCCTTATTTCCAAGGTAAGGCAGAAAGAAACTGGAACTGCATTAATTAATCCCAAAGGGAAACTCCCCTCAGACACTGAAGTACATCCCAACAAAGCTCAGATCTCTCCTGTATAGACTTTTTTCTGCCTTACTGTTAATTATACCATACAAAGTGCCAAATCTAATGCTCCTGTCTCTTCTCTCTCCCTCACCACTTCCCTCCCTCCCTTCCTCCCTCCCCTGGCAGCTCAGGTTCCAGACAGCGATGAGCAATTTGTGCCTGACTTTCATTCAGAAAACTGTAAGTAGCTCGGGGGTGATCACACATCTTGAGGGGGAGGGCAGGATACACCTAAACCAAACACACAAATGTAACGCACGAACCCTGAGGCTGAAATATTTGTTCCTACACTATTGTGATGGTGCCAGAAACCCCAGGCTAACTGTCCACCACACCTGGACAATGCCACAGTACCTCTGTGTGGTGGTAACTACCCCACAGCCCCTTTTGCAGAGTGCTGTCACACACATTGATTCAGTCAGGCTCTTCGGATCCCTTTGGGTGCGGGTGTGATGTGAAGAGTAACGATGGGCTTCTCTGATGAGGCGCAAACTGAAGGCAGGTGGAAGGAGTCTGCTTTGGGGGTTTTTCCCCTCTTGCTAAGAAAATTAATCTGTGTGGGGGGACATTTGCAGTAGAAAGGGGCCTTAACATGTGCTAAGACCTCAGCAGCCCTTTCTCTAACCTTTCTGAGAGCAGGTTGCTGCAGCACTTCTGAAGGGACAATTCGCCCCTGATGTGAGGGCGAACTGGCCTGAGGATGGCTGGTGCACACGCAGTTCAGGTCAGTCCTGAACGAACTCAGCAAACACAGGAGGCATTAACAATCAGGATGTTAGTTTCCATCCCCAAAACTAACCACTGCTGTGAACATCCCAGGCGCTGAAAGCAGCATCGTGTCAGCTTGACGAGGTGGGAGGAAGCTGGCGAAGGAGGGCTGGAGCCAGCCGCCTAAAAAGCTTACAGTTTTGGTTTGGAGGACAGACCTTTCCCTTGTTTGAGAAACAAACCTGGACCTATCTACCTTTACTTCCTAAATGTCAGTGACCTCCTAACAGCAGCAGCGGAGCCCAGAGGCCAAGGCTGAAGATGCTTACCATGTCCTTCAGCCAGGACAAGCTTTCATAAGGAACTAGTGAAAGAAGTTTTTCTCCCTGATGGATTTAATTAAGCATAAGATGTAACAATACCCACACCCTACTTCCTGGTGCTGTAAACTGCAACCCCCATTTACTTGTGAAATTCTAACCAGCCCAGAAATGTCCCTCCTCATCTGCCTCAGGCCATGACCACAGACCAATTTTTCCTGGACCGTCACTGATGTTCTGGATGAGCAGAGTGGTTAGGAGACTCCCCCAGTCCCACATTCAGGGATGTTGCTCTGCTGCTACACAGGAGTCAACAAAGGGAAACCTGCATTTGGGAATGCAACGGGTGGCTGCAGAGTGGCAGCCTCCCACCCAGGAATCACAGTGCCATGTAGAAGGGCCTGGCCTCTTTCCCATGTGCTGAAGAATCAACCTGATACAATTATTAAAATTGTGCATTTCAAAGGGAGGCTACTGCAAGCTGCTCTTCGAATTTTGAGGTATATTATAGTGAAAGCAAGGAAGTGGAAGTCGGACTTCTGTTTTTACCATGTTTTAACAGTAATGCGGTTCTTTTGGAAAAGGGATTTTATCTATCTAAATTGGTTAGGTGCTTTTGAAAACCTGAGTTGTGTGAGCATCAGCCTGGGGACAGCCTGTAATAGCACACAATACGCGTAATCGTGTTTTCGCACAGAAAACCTTCAGCCTTTGTAGCTGTGTCTACAAAATCCTTACACTTACTGTCCTACAGGACGAAGGGTACCATCAGGAAATCCACAATGTGTAATCACATCAGTGCATTATAACTAACGCCGTGCTACACAGTAACGCTACTCCCAAGATGCGCTTGCCAGGTGTGTCAGTGAAAGAGCATTTTGCATGATGCACATCAAAACTTTGCTTTTATGAGCCAGGAACAGAGAACGTGCATGCCGCCCCTTGTGACCGAACAGCAAATGTCTGTCCCAGCCCTGAACAGCTGACGAGGTACCAAAGTGATCTGGGTTATCGGAGAGCATGTTAACACTACCTTGAATTTGCTTGTTGAAGGTTGCCGTACCAGACAAACACTCCTGAATCTCAGGCAGAGCCCAGGAAAGTCTAGTGAACAGCTGTACACATTTGGTATCTGGTTTCTCGCAGCCAGCTGAACAAGGACAAGGTGGTGGCACCTCAGCTGACTTGTTACCAGCAGGTAAAATCTCCCTCCAGAAACAAAGTGCCAACTTGATCTCTCACTTCTCTCCCACAGTGGCTCTTCACAGTCCTCCTGTGAAGATTAAAAAGGAGCCACAGAGTCCCTCCTCGGGCCCCACGCTCTCCTGCAACCATAAGCAGCCTTTCCAGTACCCCAGTGGCGAGCAGTGCCTTTACGCCAGGTAACAGAGCTTACACGGTGGGGGGCCAGGAGCTGCTCCGAAATCAAGTGCTACTGCATTATCTAACAATGTCTGACCGCAGCGTGGTCTGTCTGCAGGGGGAAGGCACACGTGCTGCAGCACAAATTAACAGAGGTCAGCTCGAGGCAAGCTGCTCGCTGCCACTGACTGCTCAGAGCCGTGTAGGGTAGATCTGAGCTTGCCTCTTTTTGCTTCTCCCTGGTGCTGTTCCTCACCTGGCCTGATGCGGGGAGCAGTCTGGACATGTCATGTGCCTCACTCTCCCCACTGCTTTCCAAAATTGTCCCACAAGGAGCTCCCTGACACCACTGCCTCGTCCCAGGTATTTGCCTGAGTTACACTCCGGCTGTTTCGGTACAGACACCTTTTCCAGTTTCCTGCTTGAAGGGTTATTGCTACTGTGTGTGGGGTAAACCAGTAGTGAGACAGGAGGAGTTCACGCTGGAAGTCTCTGGCCTAGGAGGGCGCATAGAAGGCCCACGTGTCTGCCTGGGACACGTTCTCCCCAGGTACTGCCGCAAGTCCTCGGAGGACTATAATGTTCCAATTATCTATTTGACTGTCCCAGTGCCTATGATCAACCCAGACAAGTTGGAATCAAGTCACCCAACCCAGGAACCCCGATACAGTCACCACTCCAGCAGTTCCCTCGACAGGACAGGAGCTTCCCGAGCCCTGTGGGGCCACCCCCCACCACGTCCAGCTGTGGATACCTCAACAAAAATGGGTGAGTTACTGCCAGGGGGAGGCAGCCCCTGGCAAGGATTTCCCTCCTTGGTGATTCAGGGAAGAGGGGCTGCAGCATTCAGATTAAAGGGCTGTTTCCAGCAATCACAGGATCCCCCTCATCCAAAGTACCTGGGACTCACCACTGCTGCCCAGGGTTTGAACAAGTCTATAACCTTAAGCTCATCAGATTCTGTGAAGGATGGGCACACAGCTGCCCTTGGGAACATCTTTCACTGGGCTCCCTTCCTTGCCCCAGCTACGCATGCAGCTCCTGCAGCCCCAGGAACAGGCTGAGGCCAAGGAATTTTCTGTCCCTCAACCAGCCCTGCACCAGGGCCGAGACCAGAGGGCCATGAAAGCCATCCCATGTCCTCTCCCCTCTTCTAGCTCTGCATTCCAGCCACCTGTGGAGATGTGCCATTCCTTCCCCTCCCAGGGAGACCCCATTGCCTACCAGCACCAGATGCCTGAGCCCTGCCTCCAGTACCCTCGTCAGGGCTTCAAACAGGAGTACCATGACCCATGCTACGAGCAAGCCAGCCAGGCAGGCAGCAGCCGTCCGTATCCAGCAGCTGCGGGGATCAAGCAGGAGCAGGGGGACTACATGTATGGCTCAGGTAGGCAGAAGGAGCTCCCCCTGACTGCCCAAACCAGGCACCGGTGGGAGTGAGCAACCTCCTGGCTGAACATCCCTCGCTGGTGGGCTTTGGGCTTTGATACAGTACTACTTCACCTTCAGAAGCGTGTGGGGTCTGGGAAACTGGCTGTATAGCAGGAAACGCAAACAGTTCTGTCTGTTTACTGCATCCAAGAGAAGGCTGGGACATGCACTTTCTGTACCATGCTAGGGCTTTCTGGTAGACAGTGGAAAGCTTTAACTAGCTGTAGGAGCTGGAAAGTGATGTTAAAGCCATTCAAACTAGATTACACGCATGCCTTTTTTTCCAAGGGAAGAAGTAGCCACTGGGGAGACTCTTAAAATTCGTAATTAACCCACTCACACCATCCAAAATAGAGAAAAGGGTATTCCCAGTTTCACAGGGAGTTTTTGTCCTTGGAAGGGGGGGGAAGTGTGAGCTGGTAGGTTGTAGAAAGGGAGAGAAGCAGGGTCAGCTTTGAAGAAATTTCTATACAGAAAACCATTCTGTAAATGGCAGCAGAAAGGAAGGAATCAAGGATCTGGGAGCTTGTACAGAAACAGTGTCTCGGATCGCTGCAGCAGGAGGGGACCTTCAAGCTACTCTGGGTGCTCTGACTGCACTGCACAGCCCCGAGCTGCAGCTCACGGCACTGGCTGGCCATGGGCCTTTCCCCTGGCTGGAAGCAGAAGAATTTAATTCACAAAACAGAAGCAAAGCAGCAGCTCTCGCAGCACAGCTGGGGGGTGTCAGCTTCACTGCTGAGGTCATACTGGCAGCTAGAAACTCCTTGTAGCAGGTCACAGAGCCAGTGCCCTGTTCTGGAGCTCAGCATGCAGGATAAGCCAGCTTTGTTCTGCCAAAGCAATCTAAAACACTGCCTTTAGTAAACATTCAGATGCTGCTGCTCCCCATTAACACCATTAGAGTACCCCTGGGAAAGTGCAATGGCTTTTCACCTGTAAAAGCAGTAGTAGAGTGCCTAGTTATCTTAACCTGAGGTGAGGGGTCATACAGATTGAGCCTGTTGGCCAAGATTTTATGTTGAGCGGTGCACAGATGTCTGACTGACTGTCCTGGCTGCTCTGAAGGAAATCACAATAGTACCACAAACATTTGCTGGTGTAATTCATAACGAAGATGAAGTTGGGGGGATGGCGGAGACATCAGAAGTTACCAGTCTGCCACTAATCCTTTAGGAGGGCCCTAAGAGGATGCTGTTAGACAGCTGTGCTTACCTCTCCACCCCTGGAGAGCAAGAGCATTCTGCCTCCTGTGCTTTCTAATTAAGTATGTTAATTGTTCCATAGACATTCCTGGCTGTCCTTCCATGTACATAAATGCTGAGAGTTATCCAAGTTACTCAAATACAGAAGATACATTAGGTAAGAAACCCTGTGACTGCCGTCGACTCCCGGCACTGCGCTGGCCGCTGGTGCAACCCTGTCTCTGTCCGTGACTGCCTGTGGTGCTCTCCCTTTCAGGCTGCAGCTACGACAAGCAGAGGAGGTCCTTCACTGATGATGCCTGTGTTGTTCCTGAAAAATTTGAAGGTTGGAGAAAGAATGGCTTCCAGTTTGGGTATAAGATAGGGCTATTCAGCAGCTTTGCTAGCCACTTGACCACTGTCTGTGTGGTCTGTTACGCCGTGTTCTTGCAGGTGCTAGCTGTGGTTCATACCTGGCTTTCTGGTATCCCATTTCTTGAGATTTTTAGCAGCAAACAGGCCTTCTAGCATAAGTAGCTTAATTGTGAGGTTTACCAGAGCTCCTCCTGGAAGAGCTGTTCGTGCATTGGCTGCTCCGATGTATGTGAACTGAGATACTCCAGGTAAACGTTTGTGAAATGTGCCCTTTTTTTGCACTGTTACCCTTAGAAACACCTTGTTTGCTCTTCTCAGCAGATGTCAAGCACGAAGCTGGAGGGTACCGGGAAGGACCTCCATACCAGAGACGAGGATCTCTTCAACTCTGGCAGTTTCTTGTGGCTTTATTAGACGATCCAACGAATTCCCACTTCATTGCCTGGACTGGTAGAGGGATGGAGTTCAAGCTCATTGAGCCAGAAGAGGTGAAACCACTCAGCTTCTCTCCAGGCTCAGGGTGGGCAGCCACCATTTCTGAGGCTGCAGATTCCCAAGTGGTGTTCCCTCCGCCCTGGGAAGCCTCCTGCCTACCAGTGGGACTCCCTAGACCCTGCAGCAAGTCAAAGCTTTTAGAA